GAATTGGGATAATTATCTTTGACCATAAACTGACTCACTGCAATGGATTCTGGAACCCGCCCGGGGCCAGGGCAGAGAAGAGCAGCAGTGGAGAGCAGTGAACTTAAAACATTGCTTCTCTTTTTCCAAGGAAGCATGTTCGGAATGTGCAAAGGATCTTTTTAAAGCAAGCAGAGCAATCCTCACACAACAGAAAAAATAGCAGAGAACTGTAAGCAGGGAGAGTTGTTATTTGTGATCTCTTCCTCTTTCTGCCTCATGTGCTGCTGGCAGGACTTCTGTGTTAAATTTTTTGGGACAGAAGTTTGTAATGGCATCAAGATAAAGATGATGGACCTCACAGCCATGGAAGGGAAAGAAAAAAAACCCAAAACATTTACTACCTTGTTAAATTACTTAATTTCACATGTGCATGAACTTTTATAATGTGTGTTTAACAGAATGATGTTTTCTTCAGGTTGGAAGCCCTAACGCTGCTCGGATTTCAACTCGGGTTGGGAAGGAGTACATCAATGTCATGAACATGCTGCTTTTAACCCTCCCTGGCACTCCTGTAACTTACTATGGTGAAGAAATAGGCATGGAGAATATTGCATCAGAAAATGTAAGTGAAGAGCATGTAAACTCTGGTCCTGTTGTTTAGTTCCAAGTAACAGAACACTCAAAAGCACAAGAACTTTTGTTTTGCTAACCAAACCCAGTCTTTCTCACTGCTTAAATGGTTTTCCATATTTCTCATGGCAAACCGCTGTTCAGCGTGTGGAAATGGCCAGGCCAGAGAGCAGAACCAAGGCCTTGATATGTGAACTGATAGACTTCAGTTATGGATGCTGACTTCTGTCTTTCTCTGGATCAGTCTTGCACGGTTTCCAGCAGTGTTGCTTCAGCAGAAAGGACAGCAAGTGCCAGCACAGGGCCTGGCCAGGGTAAGGAGAGGTGTGCTGCAGACATATGAGGGAAGATAACTGAGCCATCTCCTTCCTCCCATGGAAGTGGGACTCTGACATCATTGTGCCAGAGTCCATTTTTTCGTGGCTGTTATTTAAAGGAAGTCACAGTTCTGATTCTGTCCAAGCCACGGCTGTCATGAGTGTGCCCAAGCTCAGAAAAAGGGATCTGCATGAAGGGGAGGCTGCCTGCTGGCAGGCAGAAGTGGCTTTTGGTCATCATGCATAGTCTGTCCCAAAAGGGAACAGCTCATCTCTGCCTCTCCTGACAATATTTGAGCACCACAAGAACACGGTCCTATGGCAGATGCTGCTTTCCCTGTGAAAAGCCTCTGTTAGGGAATGAGGCAGCTGCTGGCAATGTTAGAAATGGCTCTGCTAGCTTTGTAGCAAAGGGAAAGAGGTACTTGAAGCACAGGATCACCTCCAGATTTGTCTGATTCAGATGTGAGGAAGTGATTCTCTGATTTAAAAGGAAATCTCATTTCCTCTGAGAAAACTCTAGGTCAAATATCTCCTGCATTTTCTTGCTGCTGCTGATTACTGCTGACAGAGTGATTCTCTTAAGAAAAGTGGCTCACCCTGAGCTCCTCAGGGTTCACTCTCTTTTAGTGGCTACCCTGTGGCTCAGGGCTTTGGAACAAATGCAAACCCACCCTTCACTCAGGCTGGAGAGGAAGGTTCCCTGATTAATGGGTGTCTTAGGAAAATGGAGAGTATTTGCTCAGGATGATATAGGCTTTAGTCCCAGCATTTCAAACACTTCAGGAGACACTGAAAGAGGTAAAGATGAGAGGCAGTGTTACCACTGTTGAAAACTTAGGATTTTTTTCTCCTGCTTTTCAGAATATGCTAAAAAGGAGAAACCCATTATTTATAATGTCACAAAGCAAAGTGACAATTTCTTTTGTTAGGTTGCTGCTCTGACAGATTGTATTGAAAAGTGTCCTTTATATGAAAAACAGTTTTCATGGAAAACAAACACTCAAAGTATGTGCAAAATATTTTATGCCCTCTTATATCATTAAATTTAAGTGTCAGATCTTTTGGCAGCTCTTCAGTAACAATGAGGAAGCTTTTTCAGGATTGTGAATTCTTCAAAATGAGAACTTCAGACTTTTTTTACATCGACACTTTTTAATCGGCTAAAAGCCAGTTTTCAATAGTTTTGCACTTGGAAATAATAATTTTTACCTGTCTAACACAAACAGTCCTGTCAAAATTGTACCCCTTGCAAATGTAAGCTTGAAGAGTTCTGGGGTGAAAAGCGCAATGCTTAGAAAATAACAGACACTGAACAGCAGTTACTTGTTGTTTACTGTTATTTTAACAACATCTCTTCTAAGGACTCATTACCTCACATATTCACTCTCTGCATGTCTAGATATTTATAAGAATATCCTGGCTGTCATCAGTAAACTTTTATCCAACCACCTGTTGCAAAGGATGACAACTCTAGTAAGAGTCATTGTCAAATTCTAGTAGAATTTGGGAATTCCATGTTTTACCCAGCAATGCTGTATCTGAGATCATCCCCTCCCCTCCATTTCAGGAACTGTCTTGGTTCTCATTTTAGCCTTAGATTTGGACCACAATTACATCCTCATTATTTTTAACTTAAACCAACTGAAAGGGAGATAATTTGGGAGATCTGAGAACATGCTATTGGAAGAGTAATTTTTAATATGGTAATCACCACTTTTATTTTCTAGCCAACCCTCCCAGAGAAATCCCCCATGCAGTGGGATGGAGAAGTTAATGCTGGTTTTACTGAAGGCAACAGCAGCTGGTTACCTGTTAACTCAGACTACCAAAGTGTAAATGTGGAAGTAGGTATCTACATGTGTAACAAACTAATGGTCTCAAAATATTTTAATGTATCTATTTTGCTCTGGCTTCCTTTTAGTAGTGAGCATTGGTAGCAGGAACAAACTCAAAGGGAAAAAAGGCACTGAATCCTCACAAGTTTTATTAGGAAAGGAAATCCTTGCACAACAAGGAGCCTACTTCATCTATATGCATTTAAGCAGAGCAACTACAATTATGATGTTGATGTTGCAATTTGGCTCTTTAACGTCCTTTAAATCCTTTTGATATGAAATTGAAAACTGGTCTCTTTTCCCCCATTTCTGTTGCTATAGAAAGCACTGGCTTTGTAACAAGAACTTGACATAGACCGACTCTAACATAAATAGAGCAGTGAATCAAACAGATTTTGCTGACTTACAGTGCTGACCAAAATTGAAGGCAGAAAAAAAAAATTGAAGATAGCAGAAATATAAAATGTGATATAAACCCTGTGACTGCAGAAGACTGGACTCAATGAAAAAGATTCAGTGTCAAGCTTTGAATGGCTGTGGCTTTCTCCTAAATCAACAGTACTGAAAGGAAGCTGTGGGAGGAAGCAATTGCATTAGTGCTGGGGAACTATTATGCTTAATAAACTCTATACCTGCCACTCCACACGTGAGAAGGAAGTGCATGAGAAAAAGCAGATTTTCAGTGAAATTTGGAGACAGATTTGAAGAGGGATAATTGTCAGCACAGAATTCCAATAGTGTGTTCTCAGCAGCCTGGGTGTGTGTAAGAAGGGAGCTGTATTTCCTCCCTGCAGTGCCACGAACTGACCCTGTTGGTGCTGAATGTTGCAGATCCAGAGCACCTGGTCCAACTCAACCCTGAGTTTGTACCGAGCGCTGACCCTGCTGCGGAACAATGAGCTCCCCATGAATCGGGGGTGGATGTGCCACGTCTGGAATGACACTGACGTGTTTGTCTATGTGAGGGAGCTGGATGGCTTGGACAGAGTCTTCATGATGGTGCTCAACTTCGGCCAGGAGACAACAACAGACCTGCAGGCCGTAGCTCCTAACCTTCCCTCTGAAGCTGTAATAAGACTCAGTACTCATGTTAGCAATGCTGGCAAAGTGGTCAATACCAAACTAATTAAAACTGAGATGGGAGAAGGCCTGGTCCTGGAATATAGAACAACAAAGCCTGTTCATACTATGGAAGCTTTTCAAGGGAAGTGTTTTGTGGCAGAAAAAGCTTGTTATTCCAAGGCCCTCAATTTACTCTACATGAACTGTTAAGTAGAGGAGTAGAATACCCATGCTTTCATGTTAATTTAGAAGATATTAGCTTCAGGGAAATGCTAAAAATACTCTGTTTTCTTTAGGTTTTAAAACACTATTTGTGTACAAAATAAATGTCCTGAAAAATCAGATACATAATTACCTTCTATCTGTATTTGTGATGAAAAGGACAAAGAATGGATCCCCCTTAGGATCTGTGGAGAAGAAAAGTAATCCTGTTCTAAAAACTGTCCTGTTTAAGCATGTATTTTTGGGAGGAGAGGGAACAGTTGCTTTTTGTGTGCTGACCCTGGAGGTTGCTGGTCTGTAAGTGTTCCTGTGGAATCCCAAGCCTGTGGCAGTTCACTGTAACTTTTCAGAAGTCTGCAGATTTGTAAAACTTATTCCAAAGGGGTGGCCCTATATCTGCTAAAACAGGTGAAAACAAGCAAGACTAGTGTATATTGTGATGTTTTACTTCTTCTCTCAAATCTAACAACTCCGATTATCCACAAAGTTAGGAAGAAAAAGAAAAATAATGTAGCTAATATCTAATTCCACACTTGTAACTGCATTTCCAGTTGATTCTCCACCTCCCTGCTGAGTTAGAATATATTTGCATTCTCTTCTTTCTTTTCCTGCCCTAAGGCTGAGGTGAGAGGTGTGTACTTTAGTTCAGAGGAAGCAGCTGAATCAACCCTACTGAATGTCACATTTGTACACGTGCTCTGATTTGCATTTGCTGCACCTGCAGTGCTTGATGTGGCCCTAGGTGTGCACCACAGATTTCCTTTAGCAAGCAATGCACAGCAAATTTGTGCCTTGCTCGGAGGGCAGCTAAGCTATGAATTGGGCTGCTTTAGTGGGGGCATTCTTTTTGTTTTATCCTCTGGAGATACTCTGGCATCTTTTGACACACTGATCTTGTCCTTCTGAGGGACTTGGCACCTCCTTCTTAAGGTTACCATGCTAGGTAAGGTAACTGCAAGATTTTTAATGTATTCAGATCAGAGTTCTGCTAAAACTCCATTAATGAGGGTGCTTTTCCTTGCAGTTTGGTCAATCCCACCACATGATCAGTACACCATGGCTGCTGTGCAGATAGAGAGGGCAGCAATCACCACCTACATATGGCAATTTGTTCTGGAAGTAGTGAGACTTGAATGTCAGATGCTTCAGAGGAGTTCTGCTGTGCTGTGTAAGATATGGCCTTGCAAGAGATGCCTTGGACAGGAAGGCTGCCTGTGCCAAGTGCCTGTGGCTGCCCTGTGAGCTCTAAGTGCTCCAGCTCTGCTCGCTAGCACTGCTCTGCTGGCTCACGTGAACAGAGCTGCTGGACAAACTCTTTTCTGCTGGCAGCTGCTTCTGCACAGCCTGGCAGGGCAGAAATCCAGTTCTTGGTCTGTATTTTTGTAAGGCAATGCCACACCCAGCTTTGTGTGCTTGTGCCTGTAAAGCAGGGATCCAAGAGGAGAGATCCTCTGGAGAAGGTGTTTGCTTTCCATACAAATCCAAAGTTTTTCAGGTGGTCGGTGTGTTTAGGAGTTATTTGCAGATTTGCTGTGATGTTGGGGATGGCACACTTCCTCAAGTTCTCTGTTCAGAAAAGCAAGGTGTCTTGCAACCTAAAATAATGAAAATATTTTATTATGAAGTAAAGTTCTTTGCACTATAGAAATTCAGGCTTTTGTGCAGCTATTCTAGTAATCTTCCTTTCCTATACTAATGCTAAGAAATACCTTGTAATAAGACAGCATGGAGTTTTCCTGAAAGAATTCATCTTGGGAATAACTGCCACCACCACCTAATTAACATTTTCTAGGATTTGTTAAAATTAAAAGTAATAAAATTTGTATCAAACTGTAACAGTCTGAGACATCAGTAAAAATATGTTAAGTCTTGGGAGTATTTTGCTTTTAACAAGCATGCTTGTATAAAGTGCAAAATCTTGAAAGCTAACCGTAATAGCTTTGATAGCACAGATCATGCATTTCAAAATGTAAAGATCCAACCCATCATGTATGTTTTACACAATGAGGAAGATAGGAGTAAATAGTATGACAGTTTTAAGCACTTAATACTCTACAGAGCAAGACTTTTCCTCCTGGAAGGATGTTTTGCACAGCTTGGAACCTTTCATTCAAAGCTCCTAGCACATTACAGTGGGAATTGAACACTATTTTAAGGCTATTTCAATAATCTGGCTCTGCCACCGTCTCTTTTATATCTGTACAAGTATATATGTGTATAAAGGTAGATATATATAAAGATTGCTGGGTTTTAAAATTATATATATATATATATATATATATGTAAAATCAGCAGTTGCTTTAGCAGTTTTTCTTTGTAGTTTAAACATACAGTCAATGACTGCCCAACTACTGAGGCTGAAGTATTCCTTGAGGGGGGACACATCCCTGCAACATGTTATGGAGCTGTGCAGTAAAGGGATCATACCTCATTCAGTGAGTGCTCCCAGGATGAATCACAATGACTGCCATTTGCCTGGACATCTAGGATGATATTAGGAATCCAATTTCCTGGAACAATGAAGCTGGTGATCACTTTACATTGAATGAACAAGTCAAAAATTAAATAGGTATGTGAATTGCTTAAGGATAGCTGCCTTCTTGTCCCGACAGAATTTCTATTATTCCTTAAGAAAAAGAGAATTGTAGAGGGGCGTTCTGAATGAATTACTTGTATTTCTAATAACTGCATATTTGGAAAGTATTCAACTATTTAGTGTGTTTGTTCTCTCTGAGTCTTTTTGGAAAGACGTGCTCTTTTCTTCCTGCACAAAGAGCACAACAGCAACTGCAGCACCGGCTGCAATTTCTCAACCGCTGCAGTTGTGCTGCTCAGAGACAGGGCATCATGTAATGTAGAAAAGGTTATTCAAGATCTCTTTTGGTAATGATGGTAAAAGCCTCTCCCCAGACTGGATGGTACAAGAAAATTGTCAAGCTTAAATGTACCTTTTGCTGGAAACTCACAAAGTTAGGGTTAAGTTTCAGGTATAAAAGCACCTGTGCCTTGGCCTTGTTGTCACTCTAGCTTGGACTAAGGACCTGCAGCTTTAGCAAAGTAAGAAAAATAGGTTTTTATATAGCAGCAAAAACAAGATTTTTCTCCAAGGGCTGCCGAGAGCTGCAGCCTAGCCCTGTCAGCATCTGGAGCGACAGCGTGGGTTCACCCTACACTGTCCAACAACTGCCCTATGTGGGGGCCTAGGAAAGAGTGAGCCCCCCTCACAGGCTCCCAGTCTTTATGTTTTTGCATCTCAGAGAGTGTTCTGAGTCTGCTGTGGAGCTGGTGATTTGGGATTGTGTTTGAATTCATTTAAGGTGGAATCAAACTCTGTGGTCTTTAATTTACATGACTATTAAGATTTTGCTTCATGACTCCATTTATCTGAGATATTCTTATCCTTACCTTTCTTACTTGTTCTGTTGGCATGATCTAGTGCAGCCTTCCTGAGTTTCTGAACATACTGTAAAATTCCTGGTAGCGCTACCCGTTCATCATTTTCATACGCCGTGATAAAAACTGATGGATAGCACTGAGATTAAAAACCAAAACCAGTTAAACACTTGACAACTGGTCTTTCACAGAGCAACACATTTTTCTCTTACTATACAACTTGTTAGGGTTTATTTAAGAACTTATCTATTACATAATTACTTAGTGTTTTCTAAGAGTTTTATCACTCTAACTGCAAAAAGTATTTTGGTCTGAAAAACGACTTCACAGGTGGGCATAATCTACTTAAAAAAGGTCATAAAAACATCCTCTTCCCACTGGTCTGATACCTGTCTGCTTGCTAATGATTGCAAAAAAAGAAAAAATGGGAGTAATAAGCATGGAATAGTTTACCTTAGAACAATAGTTGAAGTTTATTTTTCAATCTTTCTGCACAGAAGTTGGTTTTTAAATAGTAAGAGTTCAACTTAATGAAGCTGTGCAACACAGCTAACACACTGTCAAACAAAGAGAGATTTCCCTTGAGATGACAATATCATTCAGGAGAAAGCATTGGGTTAATTTCAGTAGTCACTTGTGACTCCAACTATTGCTAAGATTATTACTGAAATAATTTATATTGGAGGTTTTTTAAAAATTTCAGTGATCTACTTCTGGTTGTCTTATAAACCACTACAATTTATGCCTGAAGTATTCTGCACAGAAAGCATAGTTTTACCTGTGGCTTAATGTTCTGGTATGGGCAATAGCTTTTGATATACTTCATACATTTTTCATCTTCTAATGGATTTCCCCATTCTTCTTGTTCCTCAATTGTCAGTGGGAGATGAGTTTTCATCATTGTATTTAGAACATCCACGAAAGGAGCCTTAGAAGTCATAAAAAAAAAAAAGTTGGAAATAGGCCAGAGGACCTTGAATATCTGTGTCAAGGTGTTCTCAAACAAATGAGGAGAGTGAGCTTTGAACTGGAATGTTTCCAATTCTGAAAGTGGTACAAGAACACAGATAATACAGTTTAATGTTACAATCTGTATTAGGTCTGCAGCAGCTCACCTGTAAAACCATGGCTCTGATCAGTGCTGGATCAGTGTTGCACAGGGCTCCTGCGAGAACTCCCCCAGCACTGGCAGCTGCCAGTGCTGTGCGTTTGGGCTGAGAAAATCCCAGTTGGTGCAGCAGAATGATGCAAGCCCTGAGGTCATGGAGACCTTTGAGTTTATTCTGCTGACATCCATCTCTGTGCCAGCTAAGGCCCTGCTCTCCTCCACCCCTGAAATTTAATGCAATTCAAGTTGGAATCTCTTCAGAAAACATTACATGGCATAGTTTCAGATAACAGAAGAATAGCAGCAGCCACAGAGTGGCATGTCTTAGTTTGCTTTCCCAATTAACTCTTCTCTACTTTTGCCTTTATCCTTCTTTATGGCTAAAAGAGACAACATGAAGGCAAAATAAATCCATTCATGATTGGTGAAAATACTATCAGTAGAAGGGCACATGTGCTTGTGTCCTGGAATCCACAGGAAAAGCAACACTAGGAATTATTGTAGGCAATACAAATTCAGATAATGTTATCTTTTTATACAGGAAACTATGAAAATATTGAAAACATTTCCAATACTTCCATTACTAACAGTATTATTAAAAACAGTAGAATATTATTTCAGAACTCCACACCAGACTCTCAGGATTTGTCTTCTGCTTAGCTTAAACTCTGAGATTGTTAGAAAGTTGGGTTTGGGTTCCCCCACCCCCCCCCCCCAATTTGTGAATTTCAAATGCTAATTGAAATCTTACATTTTGTAGTACAGAATTATAAAAATAACTTATACTTTTTTCTGTGCAACCACAATTTTGATTTTAAACCACCTGAAGCTTCCTCTTCAAGTTTCAGGTTTAAAATAGATTATTTGATTAGCCTGCCATCTTTGGATGACAAATTCATCTTCATGTTGGACTGACCTGCATCTTAAGATTCTTAGTGGGGTGTGAGGACGAACAGCACAATGCTTGCCACTGAGTGCAGCAGACAATATATTTGCTGAATTTGTTTTGGGACTGGTATTTCCAACAATTACTCATTCCTCCCCTTCCCTCTCCTCCCTAAAGTGATTCTTTTGTTGTCTTCCTTAGCTACTGAGAAAAATTTGAAGCCTGTTTTACATTGCAGTTTTATAAAACTGGTAGATTTGTAGCTAAACTGGAGACAGATGATTTAGCCAATAAAAGAACAAGGGTTGCAGGTTAAATGCTTAGTTGTTGCTGTAGAATGTAAATGGCTTTCAGAAGATACCGACTGAGCATTAGCACACAATGCTTTCAGAAGGAGAGGCAGGTAACATGCCATGGCAATTTGAGCATCTAACCAAAATTTTTCTTGAGCAAAAATCAGACAAGTAATGAGACTTGAAAAGATTAAAAGTTACAGCCATCATGTAGATTTAAGAAACCTAAAATGTGGTGTGCTCTTGTGTTTTTTTTCCCCTGAGGTATATTTAAAAACTACTAAAATAAAAGGATCTAAGAAGAGATGAATAATTAGGTATAAGTACACAAAAAAAATTATTTTGGTGCATCTTCAGTTGTACATGAACAAGTATCTGTGTATCCTGCAAAATATAATATTATTTCCATTTTATATTTGATTTACCTAACATGGCAATATGCTAATATCCAACCCTCTTCAATTAACATCAGCTTCTCTTCTTTAAAGCTCATGTTCAAATCTATGCCATAAGCTCCATATACATGAACTAGAAGTGGTCTCCTGTGTAGTTCTTTAGAATTCTTATTATGAAAAACTGTAATTGGCACCAAAGTTTCATCCTGGAAAAGAAGGAGTAGTTTTACAATAAGGGACATTGCAGAAATCTCAATGACACATGGCAATGAAAACTTCAATTATTTATTTTAAAATGTGTTTTTTTGATTATAGTAATTTTTTTTCACTTAGAGTGTACAAAGCACTCTTGAAAAATAAAGCCTGAGACTGAACCTCTGCTGTGTGGGCTTTCAGATGCAGAGTATAAATTCATTTAAGTGCAACACCTGAGGAGTTTTTAAACTACCAAAGCACCCAAGTCTTCCTTCCCCTTTAACTCCAAGAATATACGTTATTAACAATAGAGTTTACCACTTACCACAGTACAAACTCTTTATTAACATCTCCAAATTTTTAAACTCAGGCTGTTAAAACTTTCTTTTCTTGATCTGCACTGTGCAGCTGGTTGTGGGGTGCTCTTTTCAACAGCTGGCACCTTTTTCATTTATCATGTGGAGTACAATACCATTACATCAACTAGCAATTCTCAGTTATACTAAGCTTCTTGACTCATCGTGTGCTGTTATCTCCTGTGGAATACCCAGGTTAATGGAAAAAAAAAATCACGACTCTTTCTTGTTCTTCTCTCTAGCACTGAAGAAAACACCCACTGTTTAATAACTATAGCACCAACTGCTCTTTACATTTTTAATCTCTGTTCCCTGCCAAATGCACTTTCTTTAAATGGGTGGGGAGGAAGGAAAGAATAAAAGGATTGGGAAAAAGACTGAAAAATCTTACCTTGCTTTTAGCTAGTAAACGTGTAGTGTGACAATTTGTAATAATTGGTACCTCTTGCACAGCTTGTTCAATGAGATTATTTTCTTTAAATGAATATGCAAAACACTTAGGGGGGTGTACTGGGGAGGAGAGCTGAAAATAGCAGGTGCTGGTGGTATGTTCAGGATGAGATTCCAATTCAAATTCACAGGCCCACGTAGGTAGCTGAAAAAACATGGTATTTCAAGTGAGACCCTTACACAGCTTCTGCAAATTTTGCTTAATATGTCTTTCAGAGTAAAAGACTTTGGATATTAACTAATCACCTTAGTTTGTATGTAGCACAATCTGTATTTCATTTAAATCCAATAATAAAACAGTAAAGAAATGAAAGACTGGTGAACTTTTCCCCTGAGGCCATTGGATATAGTTGGACAATGAAATAAAAACAAAAGATAAATTCAAATTCAGTTTAAAATGGGTATTAGTGCAGACTTTCTAAAAGAAAACATTTGAAATTATTCTGCATTAGTTTTATTTCTTAGATCCTATTTTTCCTTGCATTTCCAGTTCTACTTCAACACGCTATACAGCCAAGTCCATGTCAGCTATTATGCTTTTACTGTGAGTTAGCTCAGTAATGCTAAGCCACTGAAAACCCCTGCCTCTTAACTTTGTTCCTAGTGCCAGCCATTGTGAAGAACAAAACCTTTTCCTGGCACATTCACCCTCAGATACTTACTGTTATTATATTTAAGGTTTTTAACTCTGCTAAGAATGAAAGAAATCAAGATTCATTCTTTGAGAGCAGCAGGGACATAGCCAAACCTTCTGCCAGACCATTACTTACTTGGGTTAGGCTGCTAGAGGCTTCTGAAAAGGCAGCAGAGGTCCAAGTTCTCCTGAGTAACTGCAGGCCCTTTCTGAATACATAAACTATGGCCATTTTAAAAAACTGAAGATTTTGGAGACCATACAGTGTACTTTGTTGAAAACCTTTTTCTGTAGCAGTTTTATAGAGTGCAGCATTGGCAGGATGTTGCAATAAACTTGTGAGTTGTTCAGACTATATTTTTCAGGAAAACAAATCCACTAAATATTTCACCTCAACGGTCTTCAGAAATTGGATTTGGCTTAAGTCACTTTTATTATGGCACAGTGTCCATACTTGTTTTCTGAATATTAAATCTATTTCCTGTGGTAGGGGCCTTGCTTACACCGATGAGTGTAGGCAAAAAAAGGCTCAGTAACACTAAGTAGAGCATTTAGGAAACTAAGTTCTGTTTTACATTAGAAATCAGCTGCATTGTGAAGAGCTTGACTGTAATCCCTTGAAGAAAGAACTGGCTCACAGGATAGCTGTGCTTTAACTTTCTACATGCTGCAATAAGCCACCACATCAAATCCTGACAAACAGCCGCAGGTAACACAATTAGTCATAACGATGAAATTACCAGTATTAATAGTTTCCAAACTGCTTTTACTTTTGGAATTTATCTTTGCTTTCATTAAGCTATGCCAAAAAAAAAAAAGAAAAGAAAAAAGGAAGCTGGAAAAATATTATGCCACTTAAACCAAGCTAAAACCTACCTTTATTGACTGAACTGAGTATGAAACAAAAGAAATCACATTTAAGTAAAGATGAGCAGCATTCTTCAGGAACATAATACAGTCATCACTGAACATCTCAAAGTCTACTAGCTTGGTTTTCTTTTCCAGTGCGTAAACTAACTGCCAGTTCTCCTTGCCACTGGAACCTATTGGTGCCTTCATCAACTATAAAAAAAAAACAAACCAAACAACCTTCTATTACTAAAATGTAGTAAGAGTTACGGATGAGAGGTACAGACTTATAGGTGATGTCATACATTTTCCTAGGAAAAAATTACTTATTTGTATTTGGGGCATTTACCTGTCTAAAACTGGAGATTTTTACACTCCCTTTATATAGGCAAAATGGAAAAACAGTGCAGTAACATTTGGAGAAGACCAAGTCTCAAAGATTACTCTATAGAAGACTGTAATACAATAAGTGCTTTCAGTATGGCCAGCACAACTGTAGGTGGGTTCGATTACACAAACTGAGATCACCAACTTAAGGTTTGATATAGGGGAAATAACTGTTGAAGCATAGTCATTTCTTGATACTGTCAAAGGAGTTAGGATCAAACAGGCCTCCTACAGGTGAGAGTCCATGCAGCACTATCAGTCTTTTTAATCCATGCAGCTCTCTCTCTTTTATATATAAGCTGTGATGAACAGAATTAAAAGCCAACTTTACTATTTCTATATGACCTGCAATAGGCATCTAAATTATTCCTATGAATGTAATTATCAGTCAAAATTGCCTTATATTCTGCAGGTTCTCCATATGTAGTAAGAATGTACAACTGGTCCTTTCTGTGCTCGATGTGGTAAATGACCCCCGTGGTTCGTGCTTGTACAAGAGCAGGTGACTCAAAGGGATGTCTGCAGTCAACCAGCCAAACTTCTGAGGTTGTCTTGCTGTTGCTGTTGATAGTTAGAAAACGCCTGTCTTTTGTGCAATAAAGGTCTACAAAGAATCTGTAAGGAATCAAAAAAAAAAAAAAAAAAAAAAAAGGAAAAGCTTAAAATCACTATTTTAAAATACATCAGTTGTTTCAGAATCATGGGCTTCCATCTGCAAGGTAAGAAACAACATTTCTGTAAGCAGACTGGAGAAATTTCAGGCTATTTAGCTCCCATACCGACTTCTGATGCATTTACCCTGGGATTTAAAACCCTTCAATCCTGTGTGTGAAACCTGAAATCTGCAAGGAAAGCAATTTAGCTGTTGCCCAACTAAATCCATATTTTTGCATCATTGATCTAGACTGGAGGCTCATTTATGCATACAGCCTTTAAAATTCAGGCAAAATGTAGAACTTTTTATTGAGCTTGTACCCTATTAAAAAAAAAGTAGTAGTCGATAGTTAAAATAATAAATGTCACCTTGTGGGAACAGCAATAACAAAAGTAAGAGCTATTAAAAATTAATTGGTAAAATGTCTATGTGCTACTGACCTAATTGTCTGAAGCAAGTAAAACAAAAAGTACTATTTAAAAAGAAAAAAAGCACAGAGGTCTATATGAGGCAAGATGGACAGTGTTGTAGTGATAATGCTGGAAACTAGGCACTGGTTTTGGAACTAAGAAACTAGGAACTACTAACTGGATTTAAATCCCTCTAAATTCTAGAAACAGAAAGCAGAATGATAACCAGTGGCTAGATGCAAATAGTAGAGAAGTTCAGGCTGAAATTCAGATTCAAATTTCTGTGAGTCATCTGAATTAACTGGAATGTCACATCATGGATCAGGACAGTCTATCTGCCATTTTGAACCCTTAAGACTTAGATGTCTCTAAAAGCAAAACTGTACAACACAAAGATCCAGATTCCATCAAGAAAATGTAGGGTTGAGTACCATAATCTGCATCACACAGATATATCACTGCAGATACATGACTGCAATGATGATCTCTCTAAGATTCAGAGTATTTGACTGGTGAAGGAAAGGATGCTTTAGATAGTATTTTCAGTGCCTTTAATTATTTGCAGGTGGAGGATCTCAAGGCTTTTTTTATTGTTTTTTATTGTTTTTTCTAATAGCACCCTCTTGACATTTTTAGAACAGGCACAGAGGGGGAGTTAAAGTCTGCAAGAAAAATCAGCCTCCTGCCTGTGTAATACCCATGATTTTGGCAAGAATATGGCACTGCATTCAGTAGAGATTCCAAGAGTTCAGCTCTGCTGATCGTGCCTCTAAGAGGGTTGAGCTGAAATGCATATTACACTTCTCCCCAAGGATTATGACCTTGATATTACAATTTTTTTTTTATGTTGGTAGCTTCTTTTAAACAAAAAGTCAAGAAATTTTCAGCTTCTAAAAAAATATTTGATTTCAACTAGAAGAGCAGGTGAGATGCAGAACAGAACTGCTCAATGGCAATACAAAAGAATGTCTTGCCATCTCCGATGAAGGAGTTCAGCTATGAGCTGCAATAGCACATGAACCTTTAGAGTAAGTTTCTAGTAGATCTACTGTAATGACTGTGACCTTCAGAATGATGCCAGCAGTTTCCCTGTGGGGAAGTGCCAGGTCAGTGCAACCTGATTTTCCAAAACGATGCATCAAATGCAACTGGAAAAAAAGATCTTATTTATTCCATCTCCATTGCAAATTGTTTTGTTTGTTTTTCTTTTTCCAATGAAAGTATAATTGGCATTTCTTTACTGAATATGTAACTTGAATTAAGAATAATCACAAATATTTATGCAATGCTGTATAAATATGCCATGTGCTACAAGGCTGAAAAGCTAGTTCTGAGCTCAATTTAGCAAAGAGCCTTCTTGTCTTCCTAAACCACTGCTTAAAGAAAGGTTATTGAGAGGGTATTCAGTCAACAATAGTTCTGTCTCTTGGAATGTTGTAATGATTTTGCTCATCCATTACCCAGAGCAAGGATTAGCCTGAACTTATGTATTTTTTTTTAAAGATGTATCAGACATCAATAGCAGGGAAAACAAAATGAAAACCACGGTCTGATTTACCCTGTATGAAACTGTCAAACATTCATTAAAGGACACCCTGACCTGAGAGTGACCTTGACATTTATAAACTCAGCTGAACTCATGAGGTAAGAGAGGAAAGTCAAATCTCTGTTGATCACATATCAAAAGGAGAACAGAGCACATTCTGAGGCTGTATAAGGGACTACTGACAGCAGAACACAACAATGCAGTTTACTATTTGAAATATGATATGGAACACCTTTTTTTCCAAACCAGTTATATTTTACATATAAAATACTCTGAAATATGTAAAGGACTTGTTATATTTTAGGTATGTATTACCTTGCATCTTGTTCTGTATAAACTAACTTAGTATGTTTCTGGTAAGTGAAAGTAGTCATGAATACATTCTGGCATTTAAGGTTCTTCTGAGTTGTGTAATACAGAACATCATTTGCAGCCCATTCTGGAAAAAAAGACAAATGTGTATCAAATTCAGAGAGCAGATGATATTACTGATATTACTGAGAGAAGATGGGACTTCCACGGACACTGGACCCAGTGCTGAAAAAGGTGGGTCGCAGAGGGCATGGAACTGAGGACAACACTTTTGCATCCTGTGGGGACTGAGGTAAGAGCCAAAACGTTTTTCCATGTTTTCTCTGAATACCAGAGAACAAGAATCTCATAATGCATTGGAAAAAAAAAAAAAAAAAGCAAAAAAAACAACCAAAAAAAAAGCAGAGGTCAATGTTGCAGGGCCCAGCAATAGGAAGCTGTTGACCCTGTGTGGGTTCTGGAGGTAACAGGAAAATAGGAGATGTGGCTGTTTAAAACAGCAGAGAAAAATACACGGAGTCAGCAAGATAATAAAGACATCATAAGCTCTGCACTGCTGCATGCGACTGCACACAAGCCATTTAGAGAAAAGAGATGATGCATGTGCCCCATGGGTACTGCTGAGATAAAAATTCTCCAGTTTTCTCTGCTTGTGTATGTGTTCAACAACATAGAAAGGTATGAATACAGGAACCTTGTTATTCTGAAATTTTTCTGACTGATCCAGCCACATTCCTGCCATCTCTGCTGCTCCTACAGCCAACAGAATGATGTTTAACACATGTGCTTTTAAAAGCTGCTGTGTGTGTCATGCATAAATACTGATTTTCAGTACAAACTCTGAGGAATTCATAACACCAAAATAACACAAACACTTTGCTTTCTGAACAGCAGTGTGGCTCCAAAGTGCACAAGTGGCTGAGGATTCACTATGAAGACAAGCCTTTAGAGGGAAAATCCAAGTTTTTCTATAGCCTAGCCTATAGCAAAATCAAGATGTAAAGTTTCAGGAACTTTTGTCTGTCTCCCTGCTATTTTATAGCACTCAATACAAGCCCATAAACTTTGCAAGTGGTTCCAAGACCTAATTATTTTGCTCATGATTGAGGCACCTCTGTGCTTCCTGACACTACGGCTGTACCTCACTCACACCTGACTTACCTTTACAGACTTTACCATTCTGACAGTCATCTTTTGTACTCTTATTATCAGTAACACCTATTTAAGCAACAGGATGTTGGTCTCTTAACTGTACTGAGTCTTCTGGATCAACCTAGATAGATGTTCAAATCAAGGATGTTGTAAAATGTCATTGGCAAATTTGCATGTTTATTTTTCAACAGGTGTTATAATCTTCAGTGGGGAAACACAACACTAAAGTTTTGCTACTCCTCATTTTTTCAGCAAGGAAATAGAACATTTTACATAGAGTTTTTTTTGGTTTTTTTTTTTTGCTCTGCCCAGGCAAATTGCTTACTGCACTAGATATACTTGATGACATCTAGCAATATAATCCAAAGTACAAGATGTGGAACACTGTATACATACTGTTATACTCTTTTTGCTATATTCTTTCACAGACTATAAAAAAATGTTTTCCAATTCACTTCCATTTACCTCTGCTTCTTTTAACAGCAAAGTAAAGCTCTGTAATCTATTCTGAAATATGAAAGAATTGATTCAAGGCCTGGCTGACTTCACTGGGCTCTGAAGTGTGACCCACTTCTGGATTCCAGTTGAAATTCCAGCCAATACTACTATCACTAGTAGATAGTACTGCCACACTTTTCAAGCAAAGCTAACTGTCTACAGCTACCAGTGACTTCAGTTGTAGCTGCAAGGGTTTACCAACTAGAACATCCCTCAAAAAGATCTTTATATGACAAACAGTCACATCAAACTATATTTTGAATATAGCATGTTGGATTCAATGGAAAAATTATGACTGTTGTAATGTGCATACATGCTTTTACAATGAAGGAAAAGTTGTATCCAAGGAAGCAGTCCTGTTCATCCATATCTGACAGCCTGTAATCGTGCAGCATTAAAGAAACCATAAGAAAAAATTCAACATCTATAAGGATTAAATGTGCCTTAACTTGAAAAAAATAAATATTGTCTTTAAATGAAAAAAAAATGTTGTGTTGAAAGCTTGTGTGATCCACAGGATATTTATAAATGACTTACCAAAGCTAAATGCACTTGGAATTACTTTTTCCACAACAGGAAGATTACCAAGTTTCATAACAATGCAGGTTGCCTCTTCAGAATTTTCACTTTTTAAGCTGATGGCCATGTATCTCTGATCTGGTGAAATTCTGATGCGTTGAATAAAGGCATCAGAAAAGCCAAGATCTTCAACACTGAATAAAATCTTAGCATTTCCTTCACCTATTACATAGGAAAAAGAGATAGCAAAACCTCCTGTAATTAAGACACTGTCAAAATGAATGGTGATTCCTAATGTCAGTATTTAAAATCTGTCTCCAATATTCACAAACATTCTACTGGAATTTATCAACAACAAATACCTGTCTTGCAAGATATTTGTAAATGCACTTCATAAAAATAAACAAAAAATTACAGTTCCATGGAAAAAAGGCCTGTAGTAAAAATATTCCAAAAGTGTAGATATTGGCTTCCAATAACCATATTGAATTTTAAAGCTCAGATAGCTAAAGTGCAGTTTTTAATAAATAAAAGTAGAAATTCTTTCAACGCCCTCCGAAATGAAAAGCATGGATATTATCTTCCTTTCTTCAAAATGTTAACTTAGGGCTCTGCAAGTGTCTTCTCTTTTTCCTCTCCAGCAACTTGCCTTAGTATCAATATATACTATTCTCTATTTACCTTACTTTTTCAGATTCAGGATTCTAGAATTATTACTCTAGTACAGAATTGTATAAAAGTATTTTCAGTTAAGAAACAGACAAGTTAAGCATTAATGCAAGAAAAGAACACTAAGTGATACATGTATACCTTTTTAAAGAATCTTACCATATTAGGAAGGGAAATCCCTTACCATCATCTGCCTTTGCAAGAAATATGCAGCCATTCTCTTGGAAGTACACATTCTCTCCAAACCTCATCTGTTCAATACAAACAAAAATATTTCAAGTCCAGCATACTATTTCCTTTGAATCCCTATATACAGTAATTTTCCTGTGCAGAAATGTAACAAATGGCAGAACATATATTCTGTACTGAAGTAGGAACTGCACACATCAGAAAGGTTTTTTCAGTTAGGGTACTTAAGCTACCTCTATCTGTTCTAAATTTCACAGAAGGCTAAGATCACCTGCAACTGCTCTTGCAACTTACAATGTTTTGTAATCTTTATCCAAGTCAGATGATTATTTTACCTTACTTGCTTTGCCTATGGAGAAGTTAAGGTAAATTCACTGTCATAACAAGTATAAGCTGTTCTAAACACAAACTGTTACTATGCACAATTATTAAAATATTCAACACTTCTACTGTAAAATTAGTAAACCAGCATTTTATAGCAAGAACAGCTTCACTGTCTTTTATTTGTAATCAGTGATGGGAAATGTTTTTATTGTTTGCCACTTACCCTTGGGCTTCTTGAATTGAGTGTATACATGTTGTGTAATTCTTCCAGTTTTTCTTTGATTCTTTTTGTCATAGCTTTGTATGTTGGTGAAATGTTATTCCAGTTTTTTTGCTCTGATTTCAGAAGGTTCTTGTGCAAAAGGTCTGAAGTTACTATGGATGTATTTTGCTTCGTTTTGGAAGGGACTTTTGTTCCTTCCTGCTAAGAAAGGAAAGACAAAAATGACTACAAGCCAGCACACTGCATAGCAATCTGAACTCATTGAGGTGATATCCCCTGAGCCACAGGCCCAAAACCACCTTTGTGTTATTACAAAAGTACATGCCAATAAAAACAAAAACTGCAGTTGGTATCTGTTTTATTTTAACTCTTTCTGATCTTTTGGGAGGCACTGTCAAATGTGCTTTACTTGACACATTGAGGTCTTCTCTTCAAAATTTAGGGTATTATTGATATATGCTCTTAATTGATTATTAGTAAATATGTTTGTTCCTGTTCTAGAACTAGGTTTTACCTTTTAAGGAATTCTATTATTTTTCCTTCTTCACAGCTTTCTTTCATAATGTGCTGTCTTTAGAGTGTGATTTCTCATTTCCTTTCCCAGACAACAGTGCCCACACCTCTGTCCCTGTACCTTGGAGTCCTAGCAGCTCATTCAGGTTCTTGCTCCACCTCTTCAGAAGTGTTGATATAAATGTTCATAAGGTGCAGAATAAAGTGAACTGATATGGGTTCTGCAACGATTTTATCAGGAATAAGTTTAAGGATCTGGTTTTCCATGAAATGTGAGATTACTCCTACCTCACTGCCAACAAAGCTGTCTTCTAGTGTAAAAAATGTTTAAAGCGTGTTAAAACTGCTATAACCAAATCCTACTTCCTCTTGCATGCTGTGAAATCCCACTTGATTGAGTAGTAAGCTTCACAACTTACATTTCACTACACAATACTGCACAGATCACACAAAGTAGCATTTTATAACATTCAGTGTATGATTTGAATGTGTCTAAGCTTAAAAAGCAGCCTGTGATTCATATCCTGTCCTTGCTTTCCATTAAGGAATGTTGGTTTGTTCCTAGTTTCAGGAAGCACATGAGAACCAAAATGTGAATGCTTCAAATAGACTGAAGGGAAACCATCTGCTCCAGTTACCAAACTGCCTAGGAAAATAAAGCACATCATTGCTGAGAGCTGAGTGTCTGTCACTGGTTCAGACCAATCCTTCCTGTCACCTGGCACAAAGCAAAGAAATTGTGAAGGCTCTTAGAGAAGTTCTACAGCGAGTGACTACACTAGCTGATCTCTCCCTGCAGTTTTCTCCTGACACTTTACCTAAGTCTGGAAGATACCAATTTTTTCAAAATTACAATAGCGGGAAAATCAACTAAAATGCATCTTTATGTCAAAACAGCACAGGAAAGCTGAACAATGGTACATGCCCTTGAACGTAACTGATATCCTGGACTTTATTTCTCTGCTTCAAATTCTCTGGGAAAAATATGTGAAAAGTATCTGTTAAGATCCCTTAACAGATGTGCCAAGGTGGTTGCTGGTATTAAATCTATATTTAACAGCATACCTTGCAGGAAAAGAATCTGCATGGCAGAATGCTTCCAGGTGGTGCGGACCTGTGGGTACATATACTTTTTGAACAGCCCAGGATGTGGCAGTTTTTTGGTCCAATTTTACTGTAAGGACACACTCTTTGAGGAGGGTTATGCTTTGAGTAGTACTTGGCACTGAAGGTCAGCCCTTGGAGAAGATTCCGCAGTCCAGCGCAGCACATGCGAACCTTCATTTCGTGACAGCCAGCCTGGAGTTTCTGAAAATCCCAAACTGCCGATCATTCACACTGTGCGTGTGAAATATACAGAACGTAAACTGCAGGCGTAAATATACATACACACAGAAGAAATAGACATAGTGTAAACTTCCTCTTTCAAAGGAATGGGACCGATTCACTGCGTAAATCAAATGAGAAGAAAATAAGTAAAACTTTGTTTGTTAACAAGTGGCAGCCACATTTTAACCTGAACATTCCGGGCGGCCAAAAGTTTAACTCCAGTGAAACTGAGGAGAAGGGGAGCTGCAACAGCGCACGTCCAAACGCTGAAGGCCAGAGCACCGGGAAAGTCTGGAGGAGTCGTCCCCGCCTCAGTTCCCCAGCATCGAACACCAAAGCCAGGCTCTCTCCCGAGGCTCCCTGGGCAGCAGGAGCCGAACCCCGTTCGCAGGAGCACTGCAGGGGACGGGCCCCACGAGTGCGGCCGGACCCGGCGCGGCCCCGCTCCCCGCCGCCGTTGTCCGTCCGTCCGTCCGCCCGCCCGCCCGCGGCCCGCCAAGGACTCGCCGTACCCGCGGCGCTGCCGCCGCTCCTCCCGCTCCCGCCGGGCCGGCGCGCCCGGGACCAGCTCCGGGCGAGCGGCAGCGCTCCGGGGGCGCTGCCCGTAACTAAGATGGCGGCAGGGCGCTTCAGCAGCCGCGCCGCCCGAGCGCCGCTGATGTCAGCGCCGGGACGCGGACCCACAGCGGGGCGGGCACGCTCCCTGGCGCGGCTTTCCTGGGTGGCCGCCGTGCCACACCCAGTCCCATCTCCAGGCGCGGTGGCCAAGGGCGACTTGTCTTGAGGCGCAGGCACGCCGTGCCGGGCCTGAAGAACACCGCGCTTCCGCGGTCGCCGAGAGTCGCTCGGCGCTGCCCTTAGCAAAGATGGCCGCGCCCCTCCTCCCGCTCCATCCCTAGCCCGGCCGGTCCCGCAGCCGCTGGATGCTCAGCGCCGCGTCCCCGCCGCCCGAGACAGCGCTCCCTCCCTCTCTCCCGCCGCGCCAGCTCCCGGCGCTCCCGCCGCCGCATGGCCGAGACTGCCGGCTCCCCGCGCCGCCCCGCCGCGGGCAGGTGCGGGGCGAGCGGAGCGGCGGCGGCCCGAGCCCGGTGGCGGCTGCTCGGACAGGTAGGGGGAGCCCGCGGGCGGGAGGGGCCGGCATGGCGGGGCCGGCGCCGCCGGGGCAGCGCGGGGTCTCCGCCTGTTCCCCCGGCCGGAGGGACCCGCGCTGCCCGCGCCCCTCACGGGAGCATTGCGAGCAATACTGTGGGGGGTCATGTAAAGGGGCTTGCAGCAGTCTCCCTGGAAAATATGATAAGAATATATACATATATATATACACATACCCGACCTTCTCTAAAGAGAGGGGAAGCCGAGGGGCAGGCACTGATCCCTTTAGTCTCGTGACGGGACTTAAGGGAATGGCCTGAAGTTGTGCAGAGGAGGTTTGGGTTGGATGTTACAAAAGGGTTTTTCGCCCAGAGGGTGGCTGGGCACTGGAACAGCTCCCCAGGGAAGTGGCGAGCCTGACAGCCTGACAGAGTCCAAGTGTTTGGACAATGCCCTCAGGCACATGGTGTGACTCTTGCAGTGTCCTGTGCAGGGCCAGGAGTTGGACTCTATGGTCCTGATGGGTCCCTTCCAGCTCAGCTTGTTCTATGATTTCATGATTCTAAAGCGTGCCTTCAGTAGATCCCCAAAAGTGTCCATGGCCTGTGTTAAGGAAGGAGGACAGGAGGACCAGCATCCTACTGGCACCCCCACCACCTGAGGGCACCTTTTGATTTTCAGGCCATAGTTTGACACCTTGCATCTCTGCTGCCGCTGGGGTTGGTTGTCGTGGCTGCCACCTCATTCCTGCTCTTTGCTCCTTGTCCCCCAAGACTGCCTTTGGCAGGGAGCTGGGGCGAGACCCCGCTTACCTGGCAGTGAAAACTGCATTTTGCTGAGGGGCTGTGCCTGGAACAAGGTGAGGAGGAAGAAGGAGCAAGTAGTGACACCTGTGCTGTGGTAAACAGCAGCTCTTCAGCTGCAGCCTTCCACACAGTGACAGAGCCTTTCAGAGCAGTGTGACGTTGGAAAGGATTCCTCTGCAGATGAGTGTAAGCATAAGGGCTTAAAAATTCTTGTCTGTTTCATTGGTTGTGATTGTTACAGGACGTGAAATTTACAGGCCTGACGTGAGTGTTTGGTTCTGTGCAGATGGATGTCAGGAACTGCCTATGGACAGCTATCCCTGAGAGGGCAGAGAGGTGACACTGAGTCAGTGGTGGCAGCCGGGTTGGAAGGGGCACCTGGCTGCAGCTGGGTCACAGTGAGAGGCCTGGGGAACATCAATATCGCACTTTCTGTGTGCTTTTGGTTTCTAAATTTGCCGGTCCTGTTCAAAAGGACCAACTTCTGTTTCAATATACTCCAAAGCAGGAAATGTCAAAGTTACTGGTAGGAATATCAGGTTTGTCTTTGTAGGTTTCTGTTCTAGCAGCCCATGTAAGCAGCACTCTGTGGCTGTACTAGCTGTTATTTCTTCTCAACATATACTGCCTTTGGCTTATTCCTGTCTCTTAAAATCATAAGGAGCTTTTCATGACAATAGAGTGGGGTTGTGGAAGAGTGCATGTAGGTATTTGGGGAGAAGGCTTCTCGTTCTTTCTCAAACTACATGTATCTGTGACCTTTTCCTCTGCAGATTCCCTTGGTTTTTCCATGTTCTTTAGCTTCTCTGTTGATTTTTATATGGTACAATGAGCAAGGATCAATTTAATCTTAGTGGTACATCTGAAGTAAAAATCAGTTCTGTGCTCTTTGCTACAGTGGTGCTCAGATCTATCTATGGATTGGAAGAAGGTATCAACCTCCCTTTAAATCTATTTTTAAAGGAGCACTGTCAAAGTGCTTCTTACAGTGCTTTTAAAAGCACTTTTCATACTGCTTATAATAATGCCTTACGTGAAATCAGTTCTATGGTGTGTTTATATCTTGAATTTGCTTCCATTCAATGCACACACAAATTGATTTATTATGGTAAGGATGCTTGAGTGCATGCTCGCTGATTTAATTAAGAAAAAAAAAGCTCTTTTATGAGGTATCCTATGAAGCTAGCATAAAGAACCAAGGGTTTGCATAATTACCTGTGTGCTCTTTATCAATGAAATGTTTATGCATGTACTGAGTTTGAAGTTTGGCAATATTTTCAAACTTAGTCTGTCAGAATCAAGAAAAGTATTTTTTGCATTTTAAAGAATGCTGAGGGAAGTTACCCATTTACTGGGCATTTGTAAATGACTGGATAAGTTATCTAAGGCTGTGTTTTGAGCTGTGCCAGTCTCTGTGGCTGAAGGCTTTGTTCAGTCAGTAGTTTTCAGCAGGGAGGTTAGAGCAATAGGCATGCTTTAGGTTCCTCCCTATATGTATATTTGCTCCTTATAGAAAGTTTCATGAAATCTGTAAGCTTTTTTTGTTGATCCTGCCTTCTTGCTTTTTTTTTCTTTTCCTATCTTGCTCTTCTCACACAAGTCTCAGAATCACAGATTATGCTGAGCAGGAAAGGACACACAAGGATCATCAAGTTCAGTTCCTGCCCCTGCACAGGACCATCCCCAAGAGTTGCACCACATGCCTGAGAGTATCTGCTTAATATCTGCTAATGTACTTTAACTTCCAGAATTGAAAAATAAAAGCTAAAGTGAGGACAGGTCAATGACACTTTTTTCCCTGAACAGAAGCATGTCTAAAACAAATTTTCATCTCTACTCTTCTCTCTGTGAAGGGTGCCTGTTCTTCGGATCTTTTTTCCATGCTTTTGTTAGTCTTGAGTTTGTAAATTCTTTAGGGTAGGACAAAACAATTTGGTAAATATATTATTTGTAAAAATAAATACTATAGTCCTATGGAGGATATTTAGAGTGCAGTTACAGGTTATGTTGTAGTTGATTGCGCAGAAACTTTCTTGCATATGCAAAATACCATGTTGCAGTTGCTGCCACAGAACTGGCAGAGGTTTGTAGACCAGAAACTGTTACTGAATTTGGCTCTTAGTGCAACTAGGCCTAACACAAGGCTATACAAGTATGGGGAATTTCAAGTGACTGCCTTTCTCCATGTTGTTTGCAGTAGATTGTCTTTTGGTGAGGTTTTTTTAAAGAGATATCAACCAGTTTTAGGTTTTATAGAAGTCCTAAACATGGTTCTAATACTTTGACTAAATACCAAGGGTGTTGCAATTGAGATCTGTGGTAATATTTTACCAGAATCTTTGTAGAACAGAGACTGTTTGGTGGTGAGTTGAGTTTGTCACCCTTTGTTTTTATCAGTGGGTTATTCTAGAGCAATAATTTATCTTTCTACCCCATTTAACACAACTGTGATTGTGTTTTAAGTCTTTTAAGAACAGACTTGAGAAAACCCCCCTCTTGATCCATATGTAAAAAATATGGAGTTAGATATAAATAATATAACGTATTCTCCACTTGTGCTATTTTCTCAGTTACACGTAGGGTTTTAAAATATTTGACCTGCTGTTGTAATTTTCAGATATTAGACCACTTGATTTTTGTTTGAGGCTGTGGGAGAAATGTTCTTTTGAGTATTCAAATGTTCATGAGATTTCCTGCTAACCCAGAGTGTGTGTGCTAACCAGCACACACAAATTTACAGAGTGGCTATAAGATGTCTCTGTACTACCGAAACTGAAAATAGAAAAGTGTTGTTGCTGTTGTATTTTTTTTTTTCTTGTTAGTAATGCCTTGCTATTGCTTTTCTGAAAATTAGGTCTTGCTGGTTATCTTGAGTTGTCAAGATAGTCTACTTTGTTTTCAGGCACACAGCTATTACATGAAGGTCTTAATTTTGCTGGTCTTTTAATTTTGTTCTCCTGCTTTGATATTTTTGTGTTTTCCTTCACGTGTGTGTTTTTCTCACGTGTTACAGAAGTAGTGTGGAGAGCATCCAGACATTTTTAATACTTCATGGAAAATGCCTGTGCCTTTCATATGATGAGACCTGCCAATGAAAATAGCTCCAAAAGCAGTAAGCCTGATGCCTCAGACCTGCTGTTAGGAACCAAAAGTGTAGCAAATACAATTGTTCTGCTCACATATGGAGTACTTCCAAATATCCCGAAAAATTATAAGTCATGGCCTCCAACTGTAAGGCTTTTAAATGTGAGTGCATTTTCAGTCAA